AGATGAAACACACCAGCAGACAGTATGCGGCTAGGAAGAAAGGGTTGGCCCAGAAGCCGCACAAAGACTTGTTTGGTGGTGTGTTTCATCTTGCGTTCCCCTAAGTCTTAAGACCAATGACTTGTCTTCATTCCTTTCTTTATTTCTCTTCTTCTTAGTACCCAGATTCCTGGAATGCAAAATTAGGCCTTGGCTCTTAACGATCATTCACACCCCTTGAATGTGTGGTGATCTCACTACCTTTGTGAGATCTCTGTTCTACCTTTTACTTTGAGTATCTGCGCAAACTTGCCTCAATGTTTCACCTCTTTTCGTCTCTTTCGCCCCCTCCTTCTGCCACTACCACTTTGCAATGGTTCTGGACTTCAATCTTAGATCCATCTCTTATTCTCTTACAAATAACTACTAAAATGTAACTCACCTAATTTTCTTTTCTCGTCTCCATGCAGCCTTTGAATATAGAGTACTCCATTTTACAGTATTCTTCATTCACAAATCTACTTTTTGTGATTGCCCACAAGAGTATCTGCCTTTGTAAACTACTTGCCACATTTCATTATTCCTTTCCCATCATCTTTGCATGTGTTGCTACTTTGAAAATCAATGCTTGTTTTAGCTGCAGTGCTTTCTTTTGAGCCTGCTCATTTGTGAATTTGCTACTTCCATGGTACCGAAACAGTCGCAGAGTTGCGAATGCTATCCTAGATATGCCCAAGGTTTACTATTCCTTTTGACCTGTCTGCAGTCATTGAAATGATTGCATCCTCCTGCAATGTCTACGCCTATTGTTCAGGTGAGTAGGACTTTATGGCGGCACGGTGGCTCAGAGGTTAGCACTGCAGCCTCACAGCGCCAGGGACCTGGGTTTGATTCCAGCCTCGGGTGACTGTCTGTGCGGAGTTTGCACATTCTCCCTGTGTCTGAGTGGGTTTCCTCCGGGTGCTCCGGTTTCCTCCCACAGTCCAAAGATGTGCAGGCTAGGTGGATTGGCTGTGCTAAATTGCCCGTAGTGTTCAGGGGTGTGTGGGTTATAGGAGGATGGGTCTGGGTGGGATGCTCCAAGGGTTGGTGTGGACTTGTTGGGCCGAAGGGCCTGTTTCCACACTGTAGGGATTCTATGATAAGGACTGCTCATTTCAACTACCCCTGTAAAGCACAGAACCTGCTGTGTTGTTTTCGGCCCCAGCCGAACTTCAGTCCTCTGTAATAGCACAGGAAAATCATGTGCCGACTTCTGGACTCTGCTAACATTGCTTGAGCATTTTTGGGTCAGTTCATGGATATTGAATTTACTAAGAGCAATATTTTTGGACTTGGTCCTGGTCACTGGCCTTGGTGAGATACTGGGGTTGGAAAATTGGCAGACTTTGAATCTGAGATTCTGATGTTCCAAAGTTTTAAATCATTTGGATATGCTAAATTCAGGGTCAGAAATGAAACTTTATTTTTGTTTTAAACAAAAACTTCAGATCACTTTTTGATAACTTTTCTACAGGAGCATTTCTGGATTTTAAAATATGCATTAACATGCCCAAGTGTCTGTGTATAGCTTGTGATTTTTTTCAAAAGATTTGAGTATATCTAACTTTTTTAATATTATTCTCCCTGTGCTGCTGTGTTGTCTTGCACTTCTGTGGAGATTTGAGTTTTACGGATTGCCCTTTTGTTATCCTCAGTTCATTCTAGAGAAAATCTGACCTTTGAGCAAGAGTGAGGAGCTAATTCAACCCTAGAAAAACCTAATACCGGAATATTTCCCACCACAGGGTTTTATTTCATGAGCAACATGGGTAGTTGTTTTCTGATTCCACATATGGCTTGCCTTTGAATAATATTCAGCAATTGCATGTTGAGGTGGCTTGAATTGTTGGTCACCTAAGATTACTGATGTTTGCTCCATTGCTTGGTTCTTCATTATCTTCAGTTAATTATTATGTTAGAAGAAGTTAACCTTTCAGTTGAGGAAAGTGATTAATGCAGAATGAGTGTTCTTCTTAACAGTGCATATCCTTTGGGGAAAGTGTATTTTAACTCTTTCCCACTGACTGGTCTCGTGTGCCTGTTCAGTGTAGTCCATAACCCTAGAGAATTTTTTTGTATGAATTCACTTTTCATAGCTCATCACACTTTGGAGGACTGAGTTGTATGAATTTCCAAGTGGCACTGTTCTAACTTTGATTCCACTTTGTGGAATCATTAAGACATGCAAGACTGAGCAAATACTTGACGTAAGGGGCTTTCTCTTGATGGAAAATACTTGTTTCCTTCAGTTTTCTACTGGCTTTCATGGGGATTTGGTCAAATGTATTTAAAAGTGGTAAAGGTCATGCCTTGAGCTGGCAATTGCCAGCAATCTCCATGATTTCATTTTTGGATTGGACTGCCCACATATTGCAGTGTCAGACTGTGCTTACTTTATAGGAAAAGGATGGTTTGCTTGGTTGTAAATCTAATTTAAGCCTGACTTCTGCATTTTCATTTTGACTCTCTTCATTGATTGCTACAGATGCCAGGTGCATTGGCTCAGGCTATTATGCTGGTGCAGACCTAGTGCCACTTTGAAGTCTTGGGAATGTCTCTGGCTAAAAACAAGAGTGAACAGTATTTCAGAAAAAGTATTTTTGGCATTGTAATAGATAGGGGTAAATATTAAATCCTTAAAAAGTAATATTATGTTGTCTGTTACTACTGTCTTGTCTCCTTTACATTGTTTTTTTGAAGAAAAATATCTTGGTGATGTGATGGAGATCTCAAAAATGATAAATGGGTTGGGCAGAGAAGATGTGGAGAAAATGTGTTCCTTCTGGTGGTTCAAAACTAGAGACCCATAAGTACAAGGTAGTTACTAATCCTGCATGGATAAACTTATTTACACTTGCAAGGTGGACATTTCAACCCCTCTGCACAGGAGCAGTTGAGGTATGGAATGCTCAAAGGAAACTGGATGAATAGGTGAGAGAAAAAGGAACAAAATCAGAGATAAAATAGATGTAGTTTAGGGAGGAGATGGGTGCATTGGTACAAAACTAGTTGGGGTGAGTAGCCTGGTTCTGTGCTGTACATTCTTGGTAATTGCAAAATACCAAATTTGGAAACATGTATTTTTGGTAAATCTTGTATTGCTTTCAACGTCCTTTAACCCTGCTTGGTGCAATCCATTTGTAACCTTATTTTGACTAACTTTCTAGAAATCCATGGCAAATTATGGAAGCATGGTGCTAAATGCGATACAGTGTGTACCCTGGAATGCTTAGGCATTTTTCATAAATTCTGTTGTTTTGGCTGAATAACAAAGGACCATTTCCTTATGAAAATAAAGAAAAGTATTTTCTACCTTCATATCCACTGAATCCTAGTACAGCTTCAGCAAACTGTCTTGTGGTGATCTCCATCCACACTACAATGAATTTTTTCTTGTTTTCCTGGCCATCTTGCCTTGGACAGCTTTTGTGGTTGCTGATTATCTCTGCTACTTCACAACTTGCCATTATTGATGGATAAGCAGACACTGACTTCCCAGAGTTTGGGGCCTATGCAGCTGTAAGTATAGTTGTCATAGTGTAGCAGTTTTATTTTGGTGAAAGACGAGAGAACTATGTTGGAAGAATGCAGAGATCTGACGGTTATAGAGCCAGAGAGGTGTACTGTAGGACTAAGTTGAAGTTAGTGGGACAAGGTCATGATTTGGAAACAATAAAGATAATGTTGCAACATTGCTGCACTGCATGCCAAATGTAGACCAAGCTCATGGGTGAGTAGGACTGGTCTTCTCTGGAAGATAGCCCCACGTTGGTACTGAACTGCTATGAGTTTCATCTTGCAATTTCTGACTAAGACAGGGATAAAACCTATTGACCATCTGATTATCTTCCACAAAGCAGAGGTGGTTAAACCAGTTAACTGCCCACCCAACTGAGATTTGCAAGCTTGGCAATTATCAGGAATTGCCTCTAGGCACTGTGCTTGAATTGGCTCTCTACCTGGGTGGTAGTTTTATTTGAGTCATTGGAGAGTTGAAATTTTCTTAGCTGAATGATTACATTTTTTATAGCCTTTGTGCAGTGTTTCAAAATGCTGGGATTTCTATGCAGAATAGTTTCTTACAAGTTTTACAAATTGATATCAAATACGTGTTACAGTGTAGAATAGTACTAGATGAGGCAATTAAATGTGGATTTAAAAGTTTCGTAGTTTTGTTCAGGATATAATCGAGGGATAACGTCTTGGCCAAGCCAAATGTGAAGAAATATTCAGTGTTTGGCTTTGATGCAAAACTCATTAAAAGCAATGGTTGAAACTACTGAATCATTGCAATGGCCTTGTGGTAGTATTACTGGACTGTTAATCTAGAGATCCAGGTAGTGTTCTGAGGACCTGGGTTCGAATCCTGCCACATTAGCTGGTGGAATTTGAATTCAGTAAATAACTGGGATTAAGAGTCTAATGATGACCGTGAATCCATTGCCAATTATTGGAAAAACCCATCTGGTTCACTAACGTCCTTTTAAGGAAGGAAACTGCTGTCCTTACCTGGTCTGGACTACATGTAACTCCAGACCCACAGCAATGTGGTTGACTCCAAACTGCCCTCTGGACAATTAGGCACGGGCAATAAATGCTGGCCCAGCCAGCAACGCCCTCATTATGTGAATGAATTTTGAAAAAAAGTATTCTGATCTTTGAACATTACCATCTGGAACTCTTATTCTGATTCCTGTTTCAGTAAAGATAAACCGTACTTGCAGCTGTGCAGGTACAGGTATATGGTGATGTCTCCTCCG